CCAGCACGCTCAACAAAAACTAATCTAGGCACTTTTTGCAAATTTTTGACAGATGCATTAGATAACCAGAAACAGGTGGACGTAATTTACGCCGATTTTAGTAAGGCATTTGATCGCGTATCACATCATATTATAGTTATGAAACTTTCTAAGGATGGTTTTGGGGGTCCTTTGTTAAATTGATTTCGATTACGGTAGATATCTATTGTCAGCAACTGTAAACCATGAAGGAAAAACTAGGTGCTTAACAACCGAGCTTGGTCAATCGCTCTTGGCCACTGCTGCTTCACGACAACGCAAGGCTACACACTGCACAAGTTAAATGAGCTACAATTGGAATGCCTGCGACATTCACCGTACTCCCCGGTCATTGCTCCAACAGATTACCATTTTTTCCAGAATTTTGACAACTCCTTACAAGGAAAAAATTCTCCGATGCGGCAGTCCAAACCGCCTTCAAAGCGTTTAGTGATTCTCACCCCCATATTTTTTTTTAGAAAAGGGATTAATGAATAACCTATGAGATGGCAAAAGTGCTTAGATAACAACGGTGCATACTTTGATTAATTAAATACATTTTACAAAAAAAATTGACTTTATATTCCTCCCGTGCAAAACGCCGATTTCATATGTAAAGTTCTCATATAAGTGCAGTGGCGTGCGTATATATTTCAGACTGGATACGCACTAAATAATAACCGAAGATGTAATAATTTACTCAATAAACACGGACAGTCAAGAGTTAAAGTAAAATTATCATTATCAATTAACATCTGTAAATGATAAATTTCATATAAGGCATGGTTTTAGTATTCTGGAGCATGTGCGTATGGGATGACAGGGTATGCAAAGCTTTTTTGCTTGTATGGAGTGCACACGCCTGTTCTTGATGTACTTGCCTATTTGTGAGTTGATTAATTACCTACTTGTAAAATTAATTTTCGTAAAGTTCCGCGCCTGGCAGTACCGAATTAAATACTAATAATAAACTCCATGAAGTTTATGGTAGGTGGGCAATATTTTTTTTGCCTCTTCCCATTTTATAGCAGTTATAGCACAGCACTCAACGGAATACGTCACATAGTTTTTTTTTATGTGATGAAGTCGCAAACGAGCTGGCGGTTCACCTGATGTAAAGTGATAACCGCCGCCCATGGACATGCAACACTCGTACGGTTGTAGATGCGTTGCCACAAGTTTAAATAAAGTGGGCCCCGGCCACCCCACTCACACGACGAAACGCAGAAGTGTAATGTTTCTACTCCACGCCGGTCTTCTGTGAGGTCGTACCGGTCAACCCGGACGGATCCGCCCGATCGTGCAATAGCGAACACTGTTGCGTGGTCCTAACATAGTATGGTAAACATTGTAAAACAGTTAAACAATCATTTAAATACAGCGATTAAACTTATACAACGCATATAACCGATGACATCTCTTAATCAAGATCCTTAAGAAGACCAAGGAGTTTTCCATTTCTGCGAGCTTATTTTTTAGTGTAAAGATGACAAATGGTTTACCTTTGAGACCTAAGTCTCAGATGTCTACTGTACTAAGACAGTATTAATGTGACTATTTTGAGCTAAATTAATAATTCGAAAAATATAAAAATCGGATTAGAACCGGTAGATCTTATGTCCAAAGCTGCTGAGCAGTCACTGACTTTCAGACCATGTGTCTTTAGGAAATCTAAAATAAGGTAAAGCTCTCGCGATTCTTTACTGACCTTCATAACTCGCGAGGTGAGCCAGATAGGCGGGTTGACGTAAATAAAATATTTGTAGATTGTTTTAAAAATGTATAGGTAATATAAAATTTTCGGTGGAAGGAATATTTATATAAGTTTATATATCCATGACTAAAATCGTTAGAGAATTTTCCCCTCGCAATACGTAGAAACCTCTCTCCGATGCAATATTGAAATGAAATTCGTTCGATTGTGGAACAAAGGCAGATTCACTGGAATATTTGAAGCAGTTTTTTTTTTTATTCTTTTTTATTAATTCCATTTCACATTTTTCGATATTTGAATTCGTGATTGTTCTGTTTGATGATCGACTCACAGTATTAATACTGATTGCTTTGTATATAAGTATTTGCAAGTATGTTCCAATATTCCAACATAAGTAGTTGCATACTTAAATACTTCTAATTTTAATTTACGAAACGTGTTTATATTCTGTGTATATCCTTACTTTATTTTGTATATTACCTATTTTAATAAAACGAATATCTTTAACAATGCTTATTATACATATATATGCTTTATGTATTACAAGGTAACTATTTTGTTTTCAAGAAAACAAAGCTGCGCTACGTCGGCTCAGTGACCGAAATGTTGAACTTAAGTTTTAAAGTTATGAAATCAAATCTCAGTGGTCAACTTTCCCTGTTTCTCGAATTTATAACATGTAAAATATACTATTATCGTTAGTATAATCCCTCCGTGCGGCGGCAGCAACTGGGAACGTGATTTGCATAAGGAACATCTGAGATCTACATTGGACTTTCAAGATGCGAGACACATTCTGTTTTTAAAAAGCAGATCCTGTTCAATAACTGATTTTTGCTGCTTAATTTAGAGAAACAGCTAATATTATGAAAGTAAAAGTATTAATCGAAATACATGTTATAGTATTCCCTATTCGTTCTAAAGGCTTAAAAACAATAATATGGTAAAATTATGCTTCTTATACACTAGGAGAAATAACCAGTTTAACAAGGTGATATGTCGTTGACCACCAACTTTGCCTGTCTAACAACTATAGATGTCAAACAATGAATATTAATTTATCATTAACCTTAGAAATAGTATAGTCAAAGAGCAAAGGTCATAAACTTTTATAATATTTTGTTGATCGGAAAATTTACCTTGCAGGATTATTTTTTGTACATTCTTAAAGAAAACTTTGTAAAGAAAATGTATTAGAGTTGTTGTATTAGATTTTATTCCATTAGTACTATGTTTCGTATTTGGCCAATGCTTATGGTTATTTATATTATATTTTGCAAATCTCTTATTACTTTTAAGGGTTGAATTTAAAACATAATATTAAAACTGTATTAATACGATTCTGTGGCAATTTAATGTCTTTTGTAGAAAATAAAAAGAAATTCAGCTTTGGAAGTATTTTGCCTACAAAACAGATTAGCCCCCAATCATTAAAACAATAATTTAATTTATATGTCATTTTAATCTACAGTCTTACAAAATATCTCACTTTAAAATTGTTTAAAAACCACCTAGCGATTTAAAAAAAAAACAAAAGTTACTTAATTGCCTAACAATTAATCAGTATAGTGTCTAAGGCATACTTGGTTAATATAAAAAAGATAATATTTTTGGTTGCGCACTCTACAGAAAATATATAACATTCGCCGCATTTCGTTGTATTTACATAATAAATAAAATGTGAGTCGTTAATTTTATCGCAATTATTGTACAGAAGCAGCTTAAATGGCTATTTCAGATATTTACGGTCTTTGCTCCTTAAATTCGTTTCGCTCTTCACGAGTAGATGTGGTGTCTGCATTTTTAAAAGCACTGTTGGTTTTAGGTGACGAAGTGGTGCCACCGGCAAAAATTTTGAAATTCGAAGCACTGTTATCGGAGAATAAGAATCTATAGTTTGGTATCTGTGGCCGTTTGGTGGGATTTAAATAGAGATCAAATATCGATAGGGTAGTTTTCGGAGATGTCAAAATGAGAGGTGTTTCTGTTGTTCTTTGTTTTACTGTTGAGTCGACAGATGGGGTTGAGGTTGGAATAGAATTTTTAAAAATGAGTGGAGTCACTCCACCGGAATGCTTGGGAGTACCTGTAAAGTTGGCAAGATTATGTAGTTGGGGGGAAGGTGTCGTTGAATTTTTTGTTGCATTTACACCAAGAGGTCCTGCTTGAAATTCATATGGCCAGGATTTTGCGCGTCTCCACGATGTCAGTGTTTTTTCTGTATTGAACGGATTTCTATCTGTTTTATTTTGCTTGTGTGATTGTAGATAATCAGATTGCTTAACCGACCATTTTGTTGATCCCTGAGTTGGTGTTGTAGGCTTCGCAGTTGTAACGTCTATTGATGACATTGTACTTTTAGGAATTACCTTTTCTTTTATCGTGCTTGATGTTGTTATTGATAGTGATGATTTAAATTTTGGGGTATCTTCGATAACTGCAGTTCTAAACGGCCTGTTGGTGGTTGTCGAAATCGTCGTGAGTCTTGTAGAATTGCAATCGTACACTGATGATTTACCTTTGGTAGCTAAAGCATTTGATTTAATGATAGGCGCTTGTGTTGATTTTGGAGCTACTGGTGCCCGTTGAAGGTTAGGTTCATGAGTTGTCCAAGAGTTATATGCATTCAAGCTAATTTTTGTTAACCTTTCTGGCTTTTCTATTTTGTCTTTTGTTTCTTCTCGAGTTGAATTTGAATTCGGTACATTCGAATGTGTTTTCAAAGATAGAAAGCTTTCAAATATTTTTGCATTTGGACTTGAAATGTTATTTGTAGGTAGACTTGAAGGTACGTCAGAAATGCAACATGATTTACTAAAAATTGCCACTGCTTTTTCAAACGCCTTATGATCACTCAAAGAACTAGAAGCTAAAGTATTAATTTTATTATTAGTGATAAGCGTCTTTGCAGTTGGAGTAGGAGTTGTTGTGGCAAAGTTACTTATGAACTTTGTTACATCTTTAATTGTTTTGGGTGTTATTTTATCGATATTCATCATTCTGCGTCTAAATTGATTGGTTTCTATAATTCTCCAAGGCTTTACAGGCTTATAGTATGGTTCCGGCTGGATCGTTGTTGAAGAAGTAATTGGTTTCCTTGTTGTAAGCGACGAACGAAAACCATAACCCACACTGGTGGTTTTCGGCGGTGATACTTTAAGTTTGTTGTTATAGTCTCTTTCGAAATCAGACTCGAATTTTCCACGAAGCAATGCCACTATAGATAAGTACCCTGGTAAAGGTGGATCACTTTGAGGATAAGACACACTTTGCACTGAATTAGATAGGGTTGCATTGACTTTGGGGTAAGAGTTATAAACGTTCGTTGAACGTGCTCTGTCTTCCATGCTATAACTGCCGTCTTTCGCAGAAAAATTGCAATCGGTCAAATATTTCTTTGGGTTATGTTTGCAGTAATTTGGATACACCACCCATGCGAGAAACCCGTTGCCTTGAAGTCTTGTGTGCTCTTCGTATATTGTCAGAGCGCACTGTACGTCGTCAGAGATGTCATCATCTCGTAGTGCTGAACATGGAAGCCCACAGGCTTTGCCTGCACCGCACCAGTATATTTCGCTTATTTGCAGTAGTCCATGATCGCCGCTGGAGGGGTTGCGAGCCGCGGTGTCGAAGCGCGACTCGTGGTAGGCGATGCAAACCCACGTGGCGATGTGGTCCTTGCGTATCCCGAGCTTGAGGAGATCGCGCGCAAGTTCGCAGCGCTCGTAGAACCGCGCACCGGCGATCGTCAGTAGTGTGCTCGTCAACAACGCAACGCCATACATCTTACCGTACGTTTGCGTGCCGGAGGCGAGCGCACGCTTTTTTACAGCACCCTCCCGCCGCGCGCCCGCGTTATTTCTGTGTCACACCCGTATTGAACGGTAACTTCAATTACTAGGCGTTTAAGATGCCGAGCATTTTGGAGCGCGGATGAAATATTTCACCTGATCAGTGCGCGTCGTAAACTAGTGATGAGACCGCGAGTACAATCCCGACCGGCGATCATCAAACTTAAGTGGTTCGCCTTGAGAGTGCGCAACAGTGCCAGTGCTAGTTAACATAACATACGTATTTTTAGGCAGCATTATTGGTAACACGAGATAAAAAACAACTTAGACTAATCGGCAAAATTAACTTACTGACATTTGATGCTAGCTTTCTGTCGATGAATAAATAAGTAAAGACACGAAACAATCAAGTTTCATATTTATTTATTTGAAAGGAATACAGTAATTGATAAAGTCTATAAACGTTTTGATTGAGCATCCCTGGCTGGTATGCAACTGCTACATGTCTGATTTCCGGGGGTCAAAGGGCAATCCGTCAGCGTCAGGTGCTTAATTTTGAGATAATGTATAGTCGATATCAACATAAACTAAAGATGAATTAACCGCGTCATCGCTTCTTCTTACTTATGACGGCCATCAAGGTAAGAAGTTACGTCACTAGTTAAAGTATACCGTGCTTGAATATAATAAATGGACAACATTTGACAAATAGCATATTATTTTCGACTATTCAAATTGGTTTAAAAAGTAATGGACACTTATTAATTTTGTTCAACCAAAACTGTTACTCAGATAACAAAGTGCGACATATTTAACCAGCAACAAGTACCGTAAACAGAACGGTGCGCAAAGTGAATAGAATTAATCAGAAACATGCTTAAGCTTTTAAAAACTGTTACACAAAGGACTTACAAAGGCTTGGTCTTAGCCCGTTGTTTCCTTTATTATAATATGAAACTGCTAAACAATTTAGTTTGCTGATAAGTTATAAATTAGCTCCTTTATACATAAACTGAAGATGTTATAAACGAAACTGTCATGTAACGTTTCTTTTGAAGTGTTTTACCTCAAAGGCGAGCTTTGCAGCAGATTATATTAAAATAAATCCTTTTTTATCGACTTCAGGCATTGTTTTGCGTAATCACACATAACACCACGACTGTAAACTCTAACACGTTAAGATGTATTCAGTATAGCTGAGAAAATTGTGTATTTACACAATTAATACGCTGTTTTCGCGTTCTCGGCTATCACATAAATTTTAAGCAATGTATCATATAAGATGTAAGCCATTGTTAGCGACCATTTGCCATCGGCGAAATCTCCTATCAATAGTATTCCTTGACGTTCGTTAAGCAATTCAAGTGTACTGTTGTCAATTCGCCAACGCGAAAGATTAAACTTTATAGCTAAAGGAGTGCGAATTAAACTAAGACGATTATTGTCATTTTCTAGACTATCGTCATTTAATCTACGAAGCTTATAAGATCTTTGATAAACAATCTATTTTGGCGCTGGGCAGGCCTCTAAATTGAAATGCTTAGAGATTTGTATCCTTATTTGCTTTTAATCGTTCTCCCTTTTGTGACTCGGTTTCAGTTTGACACCGTTTTTGTAACATAATTATTGAAATTAAATCACTAAAAAAAATTAAAAGTTTTACCCTTTGCTTACGAAACACTAAAACGTTCTCAGCTTTACACAGCGCATAATAATTGCGTTGACTATTATTTTATTTACTTATATTTCATACTACTTTATTTTTAATTATAATACTATTTGGTCTATTACGTAGCTTAATAACCACTTATAAGGCCTACAATCACCCAAATGGTTGGCTTTGGTTTCCTTCTCGTCTAACAGATGTGTATTTGATATTCAATTAGAAAAAATCCAAATTTTTCTTTTAAAGGTTCATCAACACATGTGTGTGATATAAAACTATGGTCCTTGAAGTTAAATGCAATTTCTTAGCGGCAATCGACAGCTCAGTGTCCGGGCCCTCGCCTTTAATTTAATGTACTCGTGCAAACTAAGTTCGATCTCCGGTGTTGGCACCAATGGAATTGTTAGTTTTAAGAGTTAACTTATTACGCGCTCACCGGTGGAGGAAAACATCGCGAGGAAACCTGCATATTTTCAAAATCATAGCAAAAAAAGTGTGTGCGTACTTATTTACACGCTTTAGAAATTAAACTTCTTTGGCGTAACAAGATAAAAATCTTTTCAAAAATTTTATCTTTCGCCTTATTGTACGTTTAATACATTGAAAGTTTTATTACAACACATTATCTAGTTAAATAAAGTTTGTTTAAATATCACAAAATAAATAACGTGAATACAGTTGTCAGTTCTCACGCGAACAGCGTAAAAGATGTCTAGCTAACTTCATGGTGTCGGTTTTTCGTGTCGGTGTGCGCGCATCGTAAAATTTGCTTTCATCATTTTCCCTAACGTGCCAAAAGAAGTATAACTTCAAAAAAATTTCTAATATATCTGAAGTCCGCCAACCCGCAGTCGGGCCGGTGGTGGACTATGCCCTAATACCCTCTGTACAGAGGAGGCCTTTGGCCAGCTGTTTTTAACTTTGGTGCAAAAATAACTGTTAATTTATTTGTCTCATACATCCACAAGACGGATATTGCGAAGACAAATAATTGTGTATTTTTATAAATCATTCGTTAGCTTATAATTTATTTTATTTATTTATTTATTTATGCTTTGAAATAAAGCATAAATAAATAACCTTAAAAAAAGGATTACAAAAGGCGGACTTAATGGCATTTTCTCCAAGACAACCCGGGGCGTGGTGAGAGATTGTGGTAAGCGCAATAAGCTAAAAAAGACTATAAATAGTAAATAATAATATGAAAATACTTACGTAATATAAAAAACTTTGGAATTATGGATTAATATATATCTACTGAATAATATATGAATGTATAAAAATAAACATATTTATATACATATACATATATACATATACACACACGCACGCGCACACACACAAACAAACACACACACACACACACGTACGTGATAATTAGTAACAAGCGACAGCATCCACTTCACTAGTTGATGATATTCTCTTTTAAGTATAATATGTGTGTTTGTAAATTTAATGAAACAATTTTAGAAGTTATTTGGGCAACCTTGTAATTAAGTTCAAGCAAATGACCGCGAGATGGCCTTCCGTATTCACACGATGGAGAGACTCGGCAATAGTACACATAATGTGTCAACCTCTTGAATGAGTTGTCGTTGAGAAGATTAAAAATTATTTTAATAAGACTTAACAATCGTTGCTGACGTCAGTGCTGCTGGTATTTACGTGCAGTTCGTTGGACTTACGAAATGTTTGACTATAATACAATTAAAACCTACATCAGATTATGTTCATATGCCTGAATTGTACTAGTTCACGTGAAGAGATCAGGTATGACGGAATAAGAATAATGGTAAGTTCAACCAAAGAAGCCTAGACAAGACACTAGGTACGTATCCAATAAGTCAACAACGTGACATGGAATCCTCCCTCCCGTTTGCCGGAGGCAGTGACTTCAAACGTGAACCAACTTGAGACAGCGTAAACAAAACCCAAGTTAATTTACAGTACGAGTCCACAATTTGGAGCGACAATAGCGGAATTAAGTTATTCTCGACGACACAACGAATCTTTGGCGCAGTAAAAAATTGATCTTTCTAAGTTTGTTGTCTAGGTAATGTTGTTGTAACTATAAAAAATTAATAAAAAAGCATAGTATAATGATTGAAATTGTGCCAAAAATATAATTTACGCATTGGGAACCTAAATTATTAAACGTAAATACGGGGTAATTAAGAATAAAGGTATCTTACTATTGAGAGTTTACGTCGAGGATGTAATAACCACAATCCGAAAAGACATTATAAAAAAATTGAAAAAATATATCCTTGAAGGGATCTTAAATTTTTTGGGTTATTTGGCGCATCATTGAATATCACGAAATCACTAACTTTTTTCATATAATTTCCTGTATTAGGGGCCCGAATTTCGATTTTCTCTTTAAATAAATTACGGAATATGAACCTTCTTTTATTCTAAACTAGTTCGTAACTAGTAAGTTCGTTTTTAAAATTGTCAAGACGAGAGGTTGACAATCAAGCCGTCAACCGCGTCAGTTATTGTAACATTATCCAGACATTCTTGTTACGACAGTAATTCATTGATTTGAGGCACAAAAAGCGCAGTCCATCGTATATAAATAATAGTGTATAAATGTCCCCAATGGCAATCCCCGGGAGAAGTCGCCGTAGGTCTTCTTGAAGAACCGGCTCTTCCGTCTGCGCGCAGGAAATATTGTTGTAATCCTCCTGTGCTCTTGAGCGGATGTACTTGATCTTGAAGCAGCCCAACCAATTCTTGGCGCCGTTGAATGCTACGAAGCAGATTTACTTCGTGAACGCCTCAGGTGATTTTTTGCGGAGAAGCATTCATGCACTCTGTTGACGACCACGCACTGCATGGCGTGTTCCAGGTCCTCCCGCCGTTGGTAACCCTCTATGTCACCGGTTAGGCTTCCGGTTGTCATTTTTCGTACCCGCCGATTCGTCCTCGACACTGACGACCAGTCATGGTCGGTATGTGGATTACGGGAGGCAGCTTCGATATCGGCTTAGGGTTGTCTTAGATATTTTCCTGAAGGTCGTGCGCGTCTTAGGGGACATTGATGAGCTCCTGCGTCTGAGAGTTTAATGGGCGCGTGGACATGGCACCGTAAATTCGTGACAGTTCAGTCGGAATTCCAAAATTTCCATCGCCTTTTTGCAATCTTGTCTTTTTTATGTACAAGTGTTCCCTCCATAGTCGCGTTAGTTCCTCTTAGCGGCGCGCTTGTTTCTCCTGGCTGCGTGATGTGTCTGGCACTGTTAAGTTAGAAGTACTCCCGAAGCTGAAATAATAACTGCAACCGATTGAGTTGGACCATAAGTGACTGCTTCAGCCTGTTGCTGTTGTGCAAACGCAGTTCGGGTAGTAACAACCTTTTTATGTTGTATGACCGGCATTGGCATTGTAATTCCACTACTAACACCAGTTGTTATGTGCCAGGGTTTATGGGATTTGAGTATAAGGCTGGTATTCTAATTATTACTTTATTTACATGCTTGAACAGATGCGATGGCTCTTCTATTATCTTTTATTTCATCAATTTACACTTTACAAGTACGATGGTCCTTTTCTTTTCATACAAGTTCTCCCCCGTACACTTCTTGACAGTCTTTTACGTTAAATAATTTTCCTCGCCTTACAATTTTTCTATTTTTAACCTTTTTCTTTCCAATTTGAGCATCACCACTCAACTACCTTCTGGCGCACTCTGATCGCCTTTTATAGGCCGAATTACGATCGTCCTTTTGCGTACAACGTTTTGGAATAAAAGGACGAATTTCGATCGTCTCTTTAATAATACTGTATTGGAATAAGAATCTTCTTTTGTTATTAAGTTAAAATCTCTAACCAAGTAAATCTATCAAAAATTATCCAGACAAGACCGTTATCAATCAAGGCGTCAAACGAATAATTGTAACACCGTGTTTTACTACATTGCTCAATGAACATCTACATTACGTCGTCGAATACTACGTACTTACGATTGCAATATATGAGTTTGTTTATGCAAAATTATTATATACGAGAATAAACAATTGTTCACGCGCTTTGAATATATAAATGAAAAGATTACTTACCAACACAGCTAAAAAGTTCCATTGCTCCTTTTAATAAACAACCATTCTCCTTGGTTATTCCAATCGTTCTGTTTAAGCAGAAACATCCATCTGCGTTGTCCAAAAACCATTCGTTAATCGCGAACCTCTTTGCTGGTATACCTTGGTAATCAGTATCATATTGGTATCGTAGTTCCACTGACCTAAGTAGGGAATATGTCTTATTAAGGTAGGACGTACACATTGTAGGCCTGCATACCGCATCGTAAACAAACTAATTTCTGTCCTTGGACCTAATTCTTGCATTTCTGCGATGTTGCGTTTGTTGTTCAGCTCCATTCAAAATACATATTGCCATTTGCCATATTTAAAAAAAAATCGAGACAAAGTTAAAATTACAGCAAACTACACGTACATGAAATATATGCAATATGTGTCGTACACTTTTTTTATTAAACCGTTTCAAGTATCTACTTAATAGTAACTTGTACGTAATTATATTAAGTTACAGTGTAACTAATTATAGTATAGGGCGATATGTATATATAAGGTTCAATTAAAATTAAAATATTATTTTAAACAAAACGAACACATAACCAAATACCTATCCACAGTATTATTGCGAAAGGGGAATAAAATAAACACTTAATCCACGAGGATAATTATGCGCAAATCACGTTCAGAAAGATTATATAATTCAACAATCATTCAATCAGAGTTATTAATAAAGGCTTATTGCAGTTATTCTTTGGGCGCCTTAGCATAACCGTCCTTATATGAAAATAATCTGTGATAAGTAAAATCGGATCAAACAAGTTGTTTTAAATAATATATAAGCTGGATCTTTAATTCTATATTGTCCCTACGATGACTTTTTTTTATAATTATGCTTTTTTATATTCAAAATAAAAAAGATAAATTCCATAAACAAGAAAATAGGGCTAATATTCCGAATAGTACGTCTCGTTTTTCAAGCTAGAAAAAAATTTTGATCTATAGAGAAATGTTAATAACTAAATATTATATAAGTTATAATCAATGAAAACCACTAGATTATGAGGAAAATAATTAACAAAGTTTTTAAATTTCATACAACTGAAATCCGTCATTACTGTGCGTCCATTATTCATTATAGACTATTATTTTAAGTTAAAAACTTACTTCACTTTTTACGTTGTAAGAAGACACAAATACACAGATATATCACAAAAACACGAGTTTCTACTTCATGAACATGTATTATTAACAATTTCTAAAATTTAAAATTTGTGACTTAGTGTACACTTAATGTCTCGAATATTAGGTTCAAAATGAGTCACAGATCCGACACAGAGCGATCCGACTCGGATAGGTTAGGTTAGAAGGCCTTAGCCTTCGTTGTTAGGTTCTTTTTTTATGACCACCCAGAAAACTTTAGTGTAACAGTACTTTTAGTATTTTTAAAGACTCTTTTTTAATAATGCGAAGGTTATAATGTGTGAATTCGTAAATTTATACATATTGTCAAACACAAAATGGCGGATTTATTTAGTGAAAATAACAAGTTTTAAATATTTTTTTTTATTAAAAGTAAGTGTTTGCCTTGGTTTTCATGTATGTTATATTTAATTATTAACGTTTCTCTATCGATTAAAATTTTTTTCTAACTTGAAAAACGAGACATACTGTTCGGAATTTTTACCGAAAATAGTAACGGTAGAAAAGACAGTAAGTGAGCGAAACGAGTCGGTGTCAACTTTGTTTAGCAAAATACGAATCCGTCCTTCACTGCTTATTCAAGAGGTCTCTACGATCTCAAAGCGTTTCGCTTTGAGTGTGCTTTGTAAAAATCCCTTTATTGAATCTCACGAAACCGTAGGTTGCTTTTGTGCGAAAAATCAACACTGGCCTTTTTTTTAAATAATAGTTTGATCAAAATTTTTTTCTTAGTCATTCAGTTAATCTGACCTTTCAAAATTATTTGTTGACATTCTTTACTCGTATACAACTCTTGACATTAAACTTTTTGTTTTAATTTGTTTAACGGGCCTGAGGTCGCGTCCTTTAAGCCTGACATTAGACTTATGTCTTCGGCATTTCCAGTGTGAACGTAAAAAATAATGTAATTTTTATTTACATAAGTATATTGGACATACTACACTCCTATTCCGTATAGACACTGACTATTCCAAATCTCACATACCTCCGTGCACCCAGTATTTTTATTTCTTTCGTGTATTTAACAAACGAGTGAATAAAATGTTAATTTATGTACCAGATATATATATAAATATATATATATATATATATATATATATACAATCAAATGAAGTAGTATTGCACTCCCACAACAGGGTTTCTTTCGCTAATAGGACTATTGTGTACGTGAAAACGTTTAAGGTCACGCTAAGTTATTACAAAGAAAATCCGATTTAATACAAATTCTCTTTTTTATATAATATATTTTCTCTTCAAGACGAAATATAATATATAATATGTATAATGTAGTTCCTTACGTAAAATCTTTCATTAATTTATATCTTATAAAAGAAATGCGAAAATTGCTTGGAGAGAAAGATCTTTTCCTATAGACAGGCAGATTTCCATTTCAATTTTTGTTATAAAACTACTTCATGCTAAAAAAACGTTTCTTAAAGTTATCTTACTACTAGACAACACCATAGCCTTTATTTCAATAAAGCTTTCTTTATTATATATGTATATATTATATATACCGTACCGTACTAAAATTGTCTTGTGTGACATACAAGGAAACTACAAGGAAACAAAGTAGATAGATGGAAAATATATACGCACACCGCGCCCCTTTTCATAACGAGACGTAATTGCAGAACTTCAGGCATTTACTCCCACTAATAAAACTATTTAAACAAATCAAAGACTTCATAATTAAATAAAATGTAAGTCACGATAAATAACAACACTTTATATTAAGGAGAAAAAGTAAAGCTCAAAAAATTGATAGTCTCTCCTGTCTGTGTAAATAACACAGACAGGAGAGACTAACAATTTTCGTCGCATCCCGCCGTTTCCAGACAATTTAACAGATAGCAGTAGTCTTGCTTTGATTTTGTCAATTAATGTTTAGACAGAATATATTTCACCAAACAAAGTTTGATACAAACCCTAGAACATTGAGAGTTATATAAAAGCTTATTTTTATGCCCTTGCAGTTATTTGAGCTGCCTTTTGCTCGTTTGACGTCAGTGACGGGGTATGTTTACCAGTACCATTATTTGTTTTGCATATTCAATGAAGCGATATATTAAATGGAACCAAATAGTGAATAAATACAACAGCGAACATTTCTCTGCCTACAAATGAGAAATTCATGACATTATATAAAATATGTACTGAACGGCCATTTCGCTCATTCGTCGCTATCATACTCATACAGAAATGTAAAAATGAAAATTGCAATTGAATTGTTTCGTATTAGACCCATGCAGAGTATTTAATAAATAGCTCGTTACATTTGAATTAAATTCCGCAATGCAAATAACAAGGAATATTCCAAAACAATATGTAGATACTACAAACTGGGCAGACTGAGATTTTATACATGAAAGAACATTACTCCCGAAATCGGCTTACCGTCGATATTCGAACTGAATACTGCTAATGGACAAAGGGTAGCATGGTACCTGCCTGCATATATCTGTGTTGATTGCATACAGCGGCTTGTCGCGGCTTATAAATGGATTGAATATTCCCGAATCGGTCCCGTTGATCATGTTACAAACGCTGGCTGTTGTTTCATTTCCATCCATTTCGTTGTCATCGACCCAGTAGTCGAAATGAGACGAGCCGTTGAAGGAGATTATACGGCCTAAGTCTTCTGGATCATTTATCCCTCGATGCACTTTGTACACCTTGCTTGGTAGCTCCTTCTAAAAATAGCAAAGAAAAGAGACTTAAAAAGACATCTTATAAGCTACGAGTGCAATCTCGTTATCGGACCGTAACTGTAAATACTCATCATATGTACATGTTTAGATTCAAATATCTAAGCATTATGTTACCAATGTAATGTATAATCGTATATATATAACTAGCTGATCCGGCAAACGTTGTTTTACCATATAAATTATTTGTAGGGTAGAAAAAATGTATGGAGTGGACCACCCTTAACATTTAGGGGGATGAAAAAATAGATGTTGTCCGATTCTCCGCCCTGGCCGATATCCACACAAAATTTCACGAAAATCGGTCAAGCCGTTTCGGTGGAGTTCAATTACAAACACCGTAACACGAGAATTTTATATTTAGATTTTTTCATGTATTCGTAATGAAGGTACGCTCTGTTTGTCATTAATAAATGATACATTTACCTTTAACTCATGTTATGAACTAAAACCAATTGAATAAATATATTTCTTATTGGGTAAACGTGAATAAATAAATAATCAATCAACCCTTGGAATTTTATACTTCGTTCGCAGTTCTCGCTTCTGTTTTACTCGGTTCCAACAAATTGACATGCGACACGACGCAATCTTTTGAAATGAAAACGGCCACGTTAAAAGTATTACGAATGTTTTGATGCTTCAAGCTCGTTAATTAAAACATTTTTAAAGTAATGAGTGAAGGAGATTTTTAATCAAAAATTTTAACAGTTTCACGTTGAATATTGCTGTTGATATTAAAGGTGATAGATAGCGTGTGATTTAGTTCAAACATACTTGACTTAGTGTTAATCATTCGTATCAAGCGTAATGGGGTCTTAATTTAACAATTTAGATAACAAATTTACACACATTTTACTTGGTAAAATTTCTATAATTACTATTACTAATAACTATCTAAAGGTAAGATTATTTTTTTTGTGTAAGACACTAAATGGAACATACATCGTTCGTGCTATTAGATGTTCTACCTCATTGTATTTATAAAATATTTAAATTTTAAACTACTTTTAATTAACATTTCAACATGCATTGATTTATTATTCATATTTCATGAAATTTATTTCAAATTGTTTGTTCAAAATTCACTGCTTTACTTAATCAATTGTCGCGGGACGTTTCGCAAAAACGAAAAACCCACAGGAACAAAGCATTCGTGAAGTAAAGTACTCAATACCGTTAATATACATACTGCAACCATCCAGCCAACACAAATGGAACATGTAACGAAAAAACCACAGTTCATACGATCAAAGAGCATGGAATTACATGAATGCTACGCACTAGTTTGTACGTTAATTAATCATGTTCATCAAAACCTCAATAATTTGTTAGTAGAATTTTCGATAGTACAATTCGGTAGAATTCACCAAAACGCAGTCAAATAAATTTTAACAATACCGTCGGCCTATTGCGCCGACGGCGATATTTAGTAAAATACTTTGATAGAGATTTTCAATTTGTTCAGATGATTTGAACAGATAAAAACGTTGACATCAATGTATCGCTTTTGACGTTTTTTTAAATTGTTACCATTTAAAGCTTTCGGGATGATTGGTATCTAGATTTTGTAATGCGTTAATCTGTTGTGTACATGGTAAAATGTAACATTTAGATGACACAAACAAGAATAGATAAGAGTAGAAAAGTAAATAGGAGTAGAAAAATAAGGTTTGTATTGACTTTACGTGGGGCATACTAAAAGTTTCTGGAATGCATAAGAAAAAAAATACTATTTAAGGTCTAAAATGAATTTATAGTTTCTCAAAATATTCTTCCTTTGCGTAAATGCACTTTTTCGTACGATTAAACTAATTGTGAACGATTAAACATTTGTGCCACTTCTCCGTGGTGACCTCATAAACGTGTTTTTCATTTTCTTCGACAGCCTCTTCTGGTGATGAAAATCGTTGACGCGCATTTATTTCTTAATTTTTGGTCAGGACTGTATGCAGGATGGCTTAAATTCGTTAGCCCAGCATTGTCGTAGTGCAAGATGATATGGCGTTAGCGGTAATTTTTAAGCAGTTCATCAATAACTTCCGGCAAACAAATGGTTATGTACCAGTCGCTATTCACGGTACAACGATCCTTTGAAGCAACAGTAGCCACATATCTAGTTGTATTAAAAAAAGAAGAAAATCATCCGCTTAGATGCACTTTTCACTCGCGCCACTTTGGTTTGTTTCGGCTCATCTTGAAAGATGGGAATCAAATTTGACGTCCCTTCCTTGAATCTGGTAAGCATGGCATTGCATCAAGTGACGCAGTCCGTTTTTTGTTGTAATTACTTTCTAAATATTGTTTATGTAAATGGCCAGTTCCTGAAACTTTTAGTGTGACCTATGTATAATATTTCTTGTCGTTACTATAATAAGAACCTCCATTCAAGTTCTTTAAAATAAAATTGTATTGATTTAGTTTATAAGTATAAACTTACGTATGACAGAAGGGAGAAAACCACCGATCCGTCGTCCTGAATGACCAAATTATTAGAGTTGGCTCCTATAGCTCTGATCTGGCTGCATACAATTCCAACGATTAAGCCCGAACTTTGGCATATCCTAATGCCGTCAAAAAGTAAGTCCCGCACACGCACCTCTAAGATAGGTGAATTGTACTGACCAAACACTGCGCCAATGACCGTGTTCAGGAGGCCCATCAATCCGGGATACGAAGTTTCTGCTGTTTGCAAGATCGCCTGTAATAAAACAAATCAAATATATCTGTTGGAAAAACACAAAGAACTTTCATAAATGAGAATTAATACATTATTAAATTAGCGCTGGACGCATCTGTAGACCGTACTCAGAGCTTAATAGTAGCGGTTAACAATATGAAATATGTTTGTAAATTTCAAAGTACTCTTCAGTATCGAAGTTTAGCTATTTTGTTTTGATATTAATCAATATCAGCTTTATCAGTAATAAATAAAATAATTTCATATTAGTTAAAGGCTAATTCAAGATACTGAGAACATCAATTATACAATAGATGGCATTTATTGACTATGAAATATCGATCACTATGAAAAAATGTTTTCTAAGTATGTGACAAACATCGTTGTTGGCACAACAAACGCCAAGACTTCTATGTTAATATTAAAAACAAATAAAAAACATGAATGCAATACATTTATGTTATTGAAAGTGTTTATAACGATAAATTAGACATCCTTCGCGTTATTTCCTTGTTTTGCGATATTCTATCCTTTGAAATAAAAATAGCTTGCGATAAGTACAGCGTTAGGTATGTTACGCGGCCGTTTCATATGCATCAACATAATTTTACTATTCATCTGCACATATCTTAATATATGCATTTTTCATATGTGTATATGTATATACACATATAATAGATAATAATATATAGGGTATTTTAATACGGTAACAATAATTAAGTAGGGATCACGTCGTTCCTCAATTATCAGTTTTAGAGTTGAGATGATAGTAGCATATTTAGTCGTTATTTTAGTTGAGGCAACTGACTCCCGCTTTGTAATAAATATATAATGTATCCAAACTGAACGTTGATGATTAATCACATACCTCGAGAAACCATCGTAATAAAACATAGCTCACGCTAATATTCATATTACTGTACGTAAAAACTTAAACTATTTATAAAGATAACAACGTTTTCTGTTTTTAGCCTTTTAGTGGAGGTAATAAATGTTTTTATACTCGTTGTTTCATTCGTGTGCCACAATACCACTCAATATCTACTAAAGTCACTGGTTTAAATTAGGAGAAGTGGAAGTGTTGAAAAGGGGGTTAAATATTACGTTTTCTTTTATTATATAAATCGTTATTATTTTTGGTTTCTTGATGACCTATTACTATTAATCGAGATAACTTATATTTTTGAAGAGGTTACGTATAGGCACAAAAATGCTGAATGCCTTGTAAATATAAGTGGTCCGTCTTCGCGAAACAGTACTAGACGTGCCGATGTTTACGTGTCTAAAATTATCTAATGCTTGACAGTACGTTACGCTTTATGACATCATATTATTTGATTTGTGATGTAAAGGTTATTTTTCACCAACTAACAAGTTCCGTTATATAAGACCATCCTTATAAAAAACCTCGCCATATCTTTTTTGTAATATAGCACCGTCACTCAAAATGTAATAATATTCTCCTTCCTTTAAATGTATTGATATTTCTTCTGTTGCTGCATTTCCTCCATCTTTAGTATTATACGGTGATCACTGTTTTATTTATACGGTGATCACTGAAGCGATATATCATATTCACTCACAATCAAAGCGTGATATTTTTAACGAAGTATTTATAATAAAATAATCTGTACGACTACTATAAATTATAATTATATTATTAATATTTTTTGAGCTCGTACCTTGTTCATATATTATAGCGTTTTAAAAAAATACTATTCACAGTAATTATCAGCCTAAGCGGCTTATATTTATATCCTTTGAATTGATCGCTGCAGCAAGGCTCATTACGCGATCCACTTTATGAGGCAGCTATTGATCTTCAGTCTAGGGGACGCGGTGAAGGCTAATTGAATCCCATTCTAGTATATTCCGCAAAAGGAATTCTCTCATACGCCGCATTATTAAGAGGAACAGGGGCGCCGCAAGATCTAAACTTAATATGGGCGACGTAAATACATATTCCCATGTTTTTTGTGTGTACTTAGTAATTTATTATAGTAAGGTTGTTGTGGTATTTACTTGGCACCAACTTATTTAATCATTTCTGAGTAACTAAATCAAAATACGAAGTACTCAGTGCTAAATAAATAAATTTTTTTACCGCTTAGTTTCCCGTTTGAAGTCGATTTTTTGTTAAAAATTATTTTATTTTCGATTTTTAGTGATGGGTAGACCTAACAAGAATGCTTTTCGGATGAGGAAATGGCGGGTATTTGAGAGAAAAAATAATAGACAGAAACGATTAGAAAAAAATCAAATCAAATCAAATGAAAAAAAGAAAAAAATGTATTGAGAAGGCCACGCGACGAAAGAGCGTTGCTAGAGATGACGCGATTACGAAAATTTATTATTTCTGTACGAACAGACCATTTTGGCATATTAAACCGTATAAGTAAGCCTAAAAAAATTGTAACTGCTGTAAAACGTTCAGCAATCACCTCATCTTGTATTAACTGATGTTTTTGCTTTCAGTCCCGAGACTATTAAAGCTTCATCTGACGCAGAACCGGTGGGCTAGCCAGAACCCACGGGTTTGGGCCTTCCGCTGTAGGTAGGGCCGCGCATGTGCTCATGCGTGCGTTTAACTACTACACATGTCATCTAAGGGCCATCGAAGTTGCGGTGCGGACCGAGACCCCGATGGCCGTCGACTGTGTTTTTAGCTAATCGGTGGCTGCGGGCGGTGAGAACCGCCCTGGAACGCGGGTGTACCTTGTGTACTATTGTGTTTGTTGGTACACTAGCTGTGGGTGTAGTGTTATCCGGCGGGACCCCCGGCGGTGGGTCCGGCGTATCTAAGTCCCCTTCCTCGACCGGGTCGATGAGGACGTTTCGCGGGCGACGCTTGTTGACGTTCGCGTTTGTGTCGGGTTGGTAATTCTCTGCGCTTACCACCAGAGGGTTGGGATGATGTTCGGCTCTATCGAAGAACTGTTTTGTCAGATCTTTGAAATATTCGCGAATCGTCGGGAGTCTGCAATCGCTGTGCAGATCGACGTTGCGTTGATACCACTGTGCACCGGTTGCACGGCGGATGAACTTATTTTGTACTATTTGCAGCTTGTACAAGCGAGTAGGGTGCGTGTGGGCGAAGATCATGCATGCGTAGGACATAATAGGTCGTACGCAGGTCTTATATAATAATAATTTGTGCCTTAAGGGCATTTTACCTTTAGCGTTAGTTAAATTGTGTAGCCGGCCGGAGACGAACGCGGCTCTATTACGAACGTTATTAACGTGCGTAGTAAATGACATACGCGAGTCGAAAGTGACTCCTAAGTATTTGACCTTTTTCTCCCAGGGGAGCGGTTGGCCATAAAGGGATATTTGCCCCAACTTTCTGCATTGGCGAGGGCCATTATAAAGATGTGACGGGTAAGTACTTCGTGTGAAGTGAATCGCCACACTTTTTTCGGGATTTATTTCTATTCTCCATTTGCGGAACCAATCGCCGAGGCGGTCGGCGGCGCTTTGGAGTCGAGTGGTTAGTATTCTAAGGTTGCGGTCTGAATAAAAGAGCGCGGTGTCATCCGCGAAAAGCGCGAGATTGACGTGGGGTCTTTGGGTATGTCGCTCGTGTACAGCGTAAAGAGCAAAGGTGAGAGGCAGGAGCCTTGTGTTACGCCGGCCATGAGGCGGCGGCTTGTGGAGAGGGTGCCCTCGACTCGATATCGAAAGGAGCGATTCAACAAAAAGGCCCGGATGGTGTGTAGGAGCCTATCTGGCACTTTGAGTGTGTACAGCTTGTAAAGCAAGCCGTTGTAGCAGACCTTGTCGAATGCCTTTGCGACATCGAAGAAAAGAGCCCCTGTACTGATATGTTTCGGGTGGTTTAGGCTTTTTAGGATGTGCTCCGTTAGGCGGTATAACTGGTCGGGACAAGAGTGTCTAGCTCGAAAGCCAAATTGTTCCGAGGGCAGAAGGCCGTTGGAAAATACGTGCTCTTTGAGCCTGTTTAATAAGAGCCGCTCGTAGAGCTTCCCTGGGCAACTGAGGAGGCTGATGGGACGATAGCTAGAGGGCTGGTTGGCTGGTTTATTCGGCTTGCGAATGCCGATAACCGTGGCTTGTTTCCAGTCGTCCGGAAAGGAGAGTAGAGTGTTGAAAATGGTCGCCAGTAAACAGATAAGCGGCCCAGGGAGAGCTTTGAGATTTTTGTTACTGATCTTATCTGGGCCCGGGGCGGATTTCGGTTTTAAATTTTTAATTATATCTTGGACCTCTTCGGGGGTCACTGAACTTAAAGGATCGCCTTCCGGTGGAAGCGCAGCCCTAGTCTCGATTACACGGTCCACCTCCGTTAGGTGGACTGTATCGGTGTGTGTTCGCGCGATGGCGTACATTGCTGCTCTAGGTTGTCCGCAAGGCATTCGGCTTTTTCGGAGTCATCTAGGGCTACTGAAGCGCTGTTAGGTCTAATTAATGGCGGTAGACATTCGCGGGGGTCTGCTTTCAGACTGCGGGCCAACCGCCGGTAGGCGGTGTGCGATGGCTCGATGTCCTCTAGGAGAGTGTCCCACGTTGTATGTCGGTGTTCCGATACACGATCTTTGACTTCTAGCTGAAGGCGTCGAAGTAGGGTTCGGTTCGATTCCGATCGGTATCGGTCGAAGGCGCGTTTGGCTGCATTTTTCTGTCTAATTAGCAGTCTTAGGTTGGGCGGAAAGTTAAACCGTCGGTCGCCCGACAGTTTCACCGTCCGTTCCGAGTCTGTGACTGCGGAAGTAATGGTTTCTCGGAGACTTGCTATTGCTCGATTTGCGTCATCGAACGTGGATATCGTCTCGGGTAGTTCGATTAAGTCCTGGGGGTCCAAGGCCTTGAGTTTGACCTCAAGACGATGCCAGTCCACTACGGATTTGGTCGGAGGGACCGCGGCGGCGTTCTGGCCCAGTTTACACAGGACGGGCCTGTGATCTGAATCTAGTTCATGGATTGTCTCTATCGACTCGATGTCGAGCGAGACCTCCTTGAATAAC